CACCTGTATTGGAGATTTAATTGAGATTTAATATATCCAATATGAGAATAATTTAGAGTAGATGCTTCATATGCTTGGTGTAACTGTTCTTGAAGCTCTTCTATCTTCTTCTACGAATTTGAAGAGTTTAATCTCTTCCAATGCGATAAAACTTGTCTACATCTGATAATGGCTTCACCAAACTTTGTTGGAGGGAGTTGAGAACATTGATGGATCCAAGTATCTTGTGTCACTTGATACGCCACAATATCATTTCTCCAACGATATCATACCGGAATAGCTTCTTTCCTCATGGATAAAAGTAGTGGCCTGTGGTCAGAACCGATCCATTTTAGAATTTTAACATGGGCTCTTGGAAAGGTATCTTGCCAAGAAGTAGTTGCGAAGACTATCAATCTTGGTCTTTATAGTATATGTGTGTCTACGTCCTGCCCATGTAAACTTTCCTCCAATGGTTTTTATCTCGTGAAGGCCACAACTACTTAACATTGAATTGAAAGGCTGGAAAGAAGTTGATGCTTTGATCGGGCCGCCTTTCTTCTCATTATTGGATCTTATATAATTAAAGTCCCCCAAAACCACTCTATGATACCAGCTGTACCTTCCTGCTTCTACATGCTACTCATATGTTGCAATAATTCATTCCTTTTCTTCTTTTCTGGATATTCGTAGACATATGTAACACAAAATTTGATATCACATTCCGTGATATACATATCCGCATAGTTCCTAGCGTTATGCTGCATCTCCAACAGTACATTCTTATCCCAAAAGAATGCCAACCCTCCACTAAGATCCAGTGGAGGTATGGTGAAAATGTTGGCATAGTCGAGTTCTACTCCTAACTTATGTACATATTCATTTGTATTCACAGTTTCAATGAAGAACATTACTTGAGGAGATATCTTGATGTGCATCTTCTTTAGATAGTGAGCAGGGGGTTCTCCGAACCCTGACAGTTCCAATGTAATATTCTCATTGGGGCTCTGGTGGCTTCGGGGTTACCACCTCCCCTTTTTCTTCACCATTGCGTGTTGATTGAACGTTTTGTCGATTTGTAGAAGTTTCATCCTCTATTTGTACTACATCAACTTTCCTCTTAATACCTCTTTCCGGCGCACCTATCTCCCTTATAGCCTGTGTCTGGTTCTCAGCGTGCTGAACATCTCTGGGTTGAAGAATGTTCATGAAGTCCCCAGCAGAGCCCGTTGTAAGGAGATTTCCAGAGATCTCCATGTTGAGGTTGGAATCAACATTTTCACCCATAGTATCATCTTGTTATTCCTCCCCTGAATTAGCATTCATTCCATTCTGAGCATGTTGTTCTCTCCTTCTTCAACCGGCAATGGATTTTCAAAACCTTGTTGCATATTATATTCTGGTTCGAAAAATTGATGAACATCCGACCCTGGAAGTACTTCAATGCATTCTTCTGCCAAGTGAGTTAAAGCTCCACAGTGAGTGCAAAATTTCCTGCTTGTCATATATAAATCTGATCAAGATAGATACTTCATGATCTTCAAAGTCAACATACCTAACAAAGATGAGTCTTCCATATGCATCCATCCTAATTCTTATCCATACTTCACCTTTGAAACAATCCAACCCATTTTTTTTCCTTAAAACCTCGGATTATTATTCTCATAAATAATAATCCTCAACACTTAGCAAACCAAACAACTACAATCAGCGG